TTTATTATTTATTTATTTATTTATTTATTTATTTATTTATTTATTTATTTATTTATTTATTTATTTGCTTGTTTGTTTGTTTGTTTATGTAATAGGATAGGAAACAAACAGAACGCAGTTTTCCCTCACTAGTGCTCACTGTAAGTGGCGATCATAAAAATTACGCTCAAAAAATATCAATGAAAGGATTTGCTTGTTTGTTTGTTTGTTTATGTATTAACATAGGAAACAAACAGAACGCAGTTTTCCCTCACTAGTGCTCACTGTAAGTGGCGATCATAAAAATTACGCTCAAAAAATATTATCGCAATGAAAGGTCCCATATAACCTAGGAGCAAAAGGCATCGAATGTTTGCAGCGTTTTTCTGCCCACAATTAAACGGATGGGTGCTAAAATAATAAACGTCGGAAATGAATACGAGGTTCTTATTTTTACGCTTAACATATGTGAGGTCTTTTGCAAATCCGCAGAAGTTGACTCTTTCCGGAACCGTTTTCAATGTCTTGTACTCTCAGAAACTTCCATCTGTAGCAGTCCATCTTCAGCAAACACTATCTTTTTTAGTTTTTGTCCCATCTGAAAACGTACTCCTTTCTCATTTGTCATTTGAATGTGTCCATGTTGCAATGCCATTTGCTTTGGTTTCTCTCCTGGTTCCAAAAAGATACTCTATCGTTCTTTCCCAGGCGTCAGAACTGGTGCGTTCTCTATTTAGAAATATTAACTGTGCACTAACCGAAAAGAAGAAGGAAACGTCTCAATCGGATTGTAAGACAGTTCTTTCATGTTGGCAACTGAAATGTCAGTATCTTACCGATAACCTTCCTGCAGAAGGAAGGCATTTTATGCATGGTTTCAGGGATTTATATGCAAACGTATGTGAGTGAGTGAGTAGGATACTAATTACGGTTTACATGAAAAGACGCATTCGGCACAGTTTGCAAGACGGGCTCCGATATGACTTATACTGGAGTGTATGTTTATACGCGTGACAGACACATCTGACTGCATATCGGCAGAAATATCACACGGTAGTTAGACACTGGAATATCACTTATATATGTCGGCTAAAACAACATTGACGTATATTAAGTACTTCATGGTTATTCCATCTGGAATGCCTCCGCCCATATAAAGTACCCCGTCTTCATGGATCACAGGATAATCTCGAACCAGACTGACTCATTCGCTAATTCCACAGTCCACTTAAATCAAACTTGTGCACAGCTTTGGTAGTACAGCCATGCGGTTTGACAGTGCTATGTGTGCAATCGCTGATAAGTGATAAGCAATCGATTTACTCATGAAGGTGAAACATACACATCAGCTGTAAACACCAATTGGGGGCGAGATGGACCAAGTAGTTGGAGCGCGAATTTACTGACCCAAAGGTCCGTGGTTCGAATCCTACCTCTGCCTCTCGACTTCCCCTGTCTAGGCCTGGGCAACCTGGCAGTATCCCAGCCCTCGTGCCTCCTTCGTGTGGCATGGCAGCTAGGCACCGAAAGGGTGCTACAGTTGAACACTTATTATTATTATTATTACTATTATTATTATTAAACGTCAGTTTCGCTACAGTTTCGTTAAGTGGAGTGTAACGTGTTTCAACCGATTGACCGTAATACTACGAAAGTGATATTTGTGCTTCACCTCTCCGATAAATTTTGCGTTCTTAGGTCCGATCTCGTGACAAGGACAGAACCGAACTCACTGGTCTTAATCTTTTTACCTCACACAGGATCACAAATGCGTACTCACTATCATAGCGGATTTGGGTTAACCCAAAATATCTAGGGATTTCATAAATGAAACTACTCACAAGATTGCTGAAAACTCTTCGACAGTTCACGACCGATTTCGCCCTTCTTGGGTCTCATCAGGTAGACGCACTCCCTGAGTTTCCGTCAAACTGATGTTCTACTAGGGATTTCGTTTTTGGTGATTTTCTTCCACATGTATTGAATGAGCGAGAATCTGATCTACAAATGCTACCAACATTTAGTTTGCAGTGTACTCTTAGAAATGTTCATCTTTATTCAAATCCCGTTTACTTGCTCATTACAGGTCGCACGTAGGTTTTTTCATCTCATCATGCCTACCTTGTGGCAGAAAGTAAGCGATAAATGTACCCCACTAACTGTAGTCTATCACGCAGTAATTTCGCGGTAGAACTATCGTGGGAACATCGAGATTGATGAAATCGCTCATGCCGCGGCCAGCTGCATGTTGGTAATGCACAATCGCCAGCAGCAAGGTACAATTTGACCGTATTTATAGCATTTACGGCATACGCGGAGCAAGGCGTAAATCTTCACTTGCATTGAAGTTGCATTTTTGTTGGCGAGTAGACACAAGCTCTAAAGTAAACTACAGAGCCACCTAGACACGATAGTTACACTTAATACTACTCAGCATCTGTGTATCCAGTAGTATCGTAAGTGGGTTGCACAGCTGTTTGCGTCTCTTCTCTCCTAGCTCACTGATTTAAGCTTATTCGTTATCGCACCAGTGCATCACTTCATGGGAACGAAGGCCTGCGCAAGCCGCTGAGCTAGTCAATAAGGGAGTGAATAGGTAGAATATTTCCAACTTTCAGTGAAAACACTCTATACCCGGTGGTTGACGAGCGGATCCATCGAGTGCATAGAAAACCGTTGATCTTTTTTTCACCGTCAGTAGTTTCAGATTCAACTACAGATTCAGATTCAGCTACAAATGTGTAATTCATCAAGAGCGTGACAAATCCATCATCCTAGGAAACGTTGTTCTTATCGGACCAGCGAAAAACAAGCCTCCATTTTTGTTGTACCTGAATGACCGAAATGTAAGAATTGTCGTTACTCGACAACTTCGGGATAGTTTCAGAAAGCACAAGATTTTCAAGATGGCGGCCGGCAGCCAACTTGGAGTAGCCTGTGAAGGGTTTGAAACAAGCATATCGAGAGAGAAGACCGTAATGTTAACTACTGGGATACTCGAGCCCCAAACGTTCGTTTGTAAACCTGATCAAGCGCTTTTTCAACCAGTGTCATTTTTGTTGGCAAACTGTTTCGTGACATGTGCAATCCACCTTAATGCACAAAATCTTAGCCCCTTCAGGTTATCTTGTAGCAGAGGACAGCGAGTCATTGATCCCAAGCACCGTTGACATTAGATGACAAAAAGGTGGAAAATTTACATCATAATAAAGATTCTGCTACACTGTTGTTTCCCTTATACCAACCACTGGTAAGTTAAATGTATCAATAGTATTGCTACGTACGTGCGGTGTATTGTACAGAATTGCCTGTTTACCGAGCTGTTTTAAGAATGTGGTCGCCAGGTGCGCCGCTATTAAGATGGAATCCAAGCGCCCAGTAGGCAAACGAAGTTCATCATCATCCCCAGAAGTAAATTCACGTTGGTGAATATATAAATGATAAAGCATATTATGCAATATGCATGGTACCTGGTGAATATGTATGAACAGAAACGAATATAAATACACAAACGTCCCGTACTGACTACGTCGCCCCGAGAAGTTTGCAATTCAGCGACCAGGAGAAAGGACCAGCAACCGTTGAAAGACTCCTGCACACTCATGAGTTTTGCCGTCCTAAACTAGTCTTGAAAACATTCCACCAAGTGAAGTCAACTACTTTCCAAGAAGTAACTAAAAACCTGCAGCTGAAATAGTTTATCGCGAAAATGTGTAGCACTTGTAAAGTGCTATTTTTCATGCTTAGTATCATCTTCCTTTTCCCTATCAATATCAGTCACACCACGGTACAAAAGTTTGTTTTACTGAAATACAACCGCAACCGCCCGCGTTTTAAGTCCAACGTGACTTTGAGACTTTTGCTAAGTGACTGTTCTGGTGACTGCTGGTTGACTATAATTGGCTACTACTAACTCCAGACGTGAACAAACATTTAAGCTACAAACACTAAACTAATCTATGCACACTTGCGGATTAATACTGCGATCACCGGAGGTCTGAAATACCAGGAAGATAGAACTTTTCCTGGTGTGGTGGTTCAACGGAATACGGAACTGCGGAATCTCATATTTTGAACTGTGAGTCAATATTTACTTGGATTTTCTCCTTGTGACTTTGTGTCTGGCTTACATTAGTAATTTGTTCTGTTCACTAGAGACTCCATAGGGCCGTTAACCACTACAAATGTAGCCGAATGATTATGACAATCTACGTTGACGGTTACACTCATCGCCCAATAAGTGCTGCCTTTTACATCGTTGCACTAATGCAAGCAGAAATGTTATTTCAAATGACCAATCACTTGTTGGAAAGTCAAATGGTGTTCTTATCATTGACACCGCCGGAATACAAACATCTTGAAAAATTCGGCAATGGCGGTACATGTACTGGACACGGGACACAGAGTAGATTTAGAAAATGTTGAGGCGTGTTTTCACCTCAACCAACGGGAGCCGTACCAACTGAGTTGCCAGGGATGACGTCACACTTAGGCACACGCCATTCCACCAGTTTACCCCCGAAGCCTTTTGAACGTCTACACAGAATCAATCTCTGCCCAATTGTAGAAGTCGAGACACTTCCTCAATATTGGCATGAATGTTTTTCAAGTATTATACTGTTAGGTGGAGTTGTAACGACTGATGGGCACAGTTCGAGTGCATAAATGTGACGAGAACAACCACGTTGGGTAGCCTAGCTGGCATACCACCCTTCCTGAATTCACTGACTTCAGCCAGACGTAAGATATCTTTTGCTCCTAAGTTTCTCAGTCCAAGATTCCACATACTGACCTTTGCCCTCCAAAAGTCCCACTTTTTGTCAACTGAAATCAAGATTCCACTTGGCTCATACATGAAATTAAGGGTAACGACTGTATTAAGGTCTCTGTAGGACAAAGAGTCAGGGAACTTCACACCACAATGGGAAAGCGCAGGAGAAAAATAAACAGGAAGTCGAGAAATGCGGATGATTATCGAGCGGCACTGAAAAATTCGGCACTTAAGGAACATACATTGAACACGGAACATAAAATAGACTTAGAAAATATTGACGCGAGGACTATGGTCCACGTCACAGAGATTGATGGCCAAACACTCCATTGTTAACAGAATGGAGGGCACCGAACTGGCAAGCGTGTGGAGAACTGTTTTGACCCAGTCGAGCTGACACGTTATCAGGAGTTGTCATCAGCTGAATTCCGATTGACCTCGTCCACCTTCCCTCCCCCAACTTCCCCACCCCCCAACGAGATTTACCGATGGCACCCGCGGTGAATCATCAACTGAAGCACCCTGAAGTGGAAGGTTAAAGGGCCAAACTCGATCGGAACTAATTTTAGACTCCCTCAACCCATCAAAGAAAGATTTTGGCAACCATACTAACCAACAAGAGCCGTTACTTAACACTCAACACTGATCTAGTGCTTTAATATGAAGATGTCTTACTGTTTGGTTCTCCGTCTGCCTTAAAACCTGCTCACTTGACCTTTTGCATCAAAAGCAAGAAGTTGCCCAAACAAAAAAATACCAATTGTTTACCAAGCCCTTCCATCACCGTATTTCATTATTCGGAACTATGAACAACAGCGGCAGTGCGAAAAAATTGGAGACATTTATGCATTCTGACTTCTTTGGTAATAAAATATACAATTGGATGTCTGGCAAAAAACGTGCAACACCACACGCTCTGATGTTACATCGATCAGCCCACTTTCCTTTGGTTGTTTTTTTACCTGTGAGAATATATCATTTAGTAATCAGGTCACGGCCTTCAACTCCTAAGATACCTGAAACAACCAGCTGTGACAACCAGCTGTCACCCTTTATTTAGCTGTGGCCTGCTACCTGTTTCTGCTCTGCACCGACCGATGACTCTGTGCTTACTATGAATCCGTCTTACACTGTAATCCCTGTTCCATGATTCTGAGCTGAATGAATCCGACAAAAACCACTGACCACTCAAACTAGCCCGTTTTGACTAGCCACAGTCCCTGAAAATTTCCGTGAAACCACCAGTGCCAACTAACACCAACGCACCTATCGCTGTATCCTCAATCCGCACAACGCGTTTGTCAATCTCAGTTCGTGTCTTTCTAAAATCTGGGATGTTTGCCAACGCGTTCGCCTCAACTTAGTTTTTGACTTGATCACGTTCGAGAAAAAAAACATGTCGAAAGGTCAAGAGACATGCTGTAATTCTGCATGTACATATAGATACCAACCTAACCACAAGTTCGGCAACTTTGGCAGCTACTGTACACGAGCTAACTCACCACGGATTCTCTCGAATAATTAAGGCCCTATTACCAGTGATTTTTAATTACAGCAAACTCGTTCGTTCGGATGGCTCCGAGGTTAACAGCGAACTTACTGACCGGAAAGTCCATGGTTCAAATCCGACCACCGCATCTCGACCGCTCTGGTCTAGACTTGGGCAACCTGGCAGTATCTCAGCTTCTTTTGGGTGACCTTGAAACTAGGCACCGAAAAGGTGTTACAGCTGAACAGTAATTATCCACTTTTTCATTTGGATTTCAAGAATGGTGGAAATCACTGGCCTGACCTTGCAGAAAATAACGGACAAGAAGCAGTCTTTTTTCACGCTGCCTAACGTAAAACCGCATTCTTTTGGCTATCCTCTCAACTTACCGATAAGATAATTAATAATGAAGCTAGTTTTTAGAGTTGTGTGAAAAAACTAGACACCTGAAGAAAATTTTTGCACATAAATACAGCAGTAGTTTCCATCTTTAGGGAAACTTAAGGTTAATGAAGTTATCATCCTTCTGCTGAAGTTTATAAAAATCATCATCCTTTGTTCCGTGCGTTGCGATTTCAACCCCCTGTTTTCCATTATATCTCCCAGCAGTCTACCTGTTTTTTTTGCGCATTTACATAATTTAACGTTGTTTTTGCAAAATTCTGATTGTCTTTTTTCTTAAAAAAGGAATCGAATTTCATGCGCTATGCAAGAATGTTTTCCGCTCCCACAAAGGCGCTAGGTTCATTGTGCTCCGGGCATGAGCGAAACCCTGATAAGTTGTCGATATTTGAGGGATGAGGTTCTGATACCTGCTCTCCCTGTTAGAACTACCCCAATTCGCCTTCTGGCGAAAGTGGCGGTGAGGGTGTGCAATGCTCAAATGCGTTAATGTTATCGTGATGCACTCTGGCTGCTCTTCATTCGACTGGACAATTTGTCATGTCAATGAATTTTTTCGGAAGGCACTAAAAACTTTCACACGAGGACGTCATGAAAACGGAGAATCCTCACTTTTCGAGAAGTAGTTTATGGAAGCTGCCACTGATATCTAGTTACTTAATGTAAAATCTATATAAAATATCACGATATTTGGGTGGCTAGATACGTGGAGCAAATTGGTCGGATATTTGTCATTGAACCTGATGCCGGTTTTTTCATGTCATTTCCTTTACTCGGATCCACTCCAATGGCTAGTAGCAACTAAGTTGTAGCAATGACAGAGTCAGAATCTGTTTACATAAAACTGAAGTAGTTAGAACGAGATAACAAATTTTACACCTCCTGGAAGTATCTTCAGCTGTCGGCCACCATCATTGCACACTTGAGTTCGATTATGGTTTGCTCGTCGGGGAAAATTGCTCGTTATTCATTTATTCGTCAATTTTTGGGTACTGATATTGATGTTCATTATCTTGATGTGTGATGCTGTCCTGGTGTACAGACACGCCGAATCCCCTGCGTGAAAATAAATGATGTTGCTAGGCTAGAACCCTTTGTATGTAACTGCTGCCACAACACCTGCTTACTTTTGCTCAGGTAGAGGACATTTAGTTTACACTACTAAACTGTTATCAGTAAAACGTTTTATTTGCACAGAACTGACGGAATCTACTCCATGTTGAGGCATGTTGGTGATTCCTTCCTATCCCCCCCAAGTGATGGTCACAATTGCTCTTGGCACCGCTACGGTTGAAGAATACATGGTTATCGTTGCTGCCTTGTTCGTGAAAAACCTAAGCAGTCGCTTGTATTGCAGTACCCGTGAAATTATGAACCACATCAAGCGATTCGGACGAGTTTCTACGCAATACGAAGGCATACTATATTCGAAGGACATTGCACCTGGTGAGATGACCTTCATCATGCACCGAACCACCCGGAAGGATGCAAAAGTCATCCAAACTAAGGGAGATGGCGTCGAACACTCTACCCCAAGTAGTTTTTCACACATCAATGTGGGTAAGCTGGGATATTCTTCCCCAATAACCGGGTTCGTGAGGTGCACAACCATGAGCCTCTAGGTGACGGGGCGTCAAAAGAGTTCAATCGCAACCGGCGGAACCTTGAAATGAAGCGAAATAAATCTTCTACCGACAGGAGAAAGGATTTCTAATCACAATTTCTTGACTGGGAAAGGAACACAGCAATCTAACTGGACGCGCCGTCATGCTTTGCATCATAGTGACTGCTGCATAGTGACTGTTGAATCCATTTAGACCTCTTGAAACACATCTCACGCTTGTTTAGTTACGGTACTTTGTGAGCCAGTCGCGTTGAACTGCATTTTATCTACTCCTAGATACTCAGAAAGCAAGCCAATGAGAATCGCTACTCAACCTGATGGCGTTATGGTCACATAACCAATTAAACGTAGCAAACCATTCAGGATGATCTAAAGCTTCTCCTGTGGTATAGAAAGTGCATGAAATCGGTGTTTTGAGTTGGGGTTCCATACTCTATGCACAGTAAAACATAGGGGGGAGAAATATCAGCGTGCGTTGCAATTTAGAGCTTATCAGCCTGTAGGAAGTGGGCAAACCAACAGATGCTCTGGGTGCACCGATGGTTCAACAGTAACGTACTCTCCGAACAAATTATCAACGTGCATTATGTTTTTTGCATTAAGTTGAACAACACTGTAGCCCTACGCACTGACGATAGTGGTCCGAATTTAGCACTATAGCCACGTTTGTGAATAGCCTTTTCTGATAGGACATTCAAAAGCGTATAAAAACGTGCTGTATTGTTTGAGAACTCCAATAACTTCAGTAAGAGAAGCAGGATTAATAAGAGTTTGGCCGGAAGAAAAAGGTATTGCATATCCACCAGGGTGCAGTTCTTGAAATGGTTGGAGATCAGTGCCTGTGAAAGTTCGCGAGAAAGTTAAAATGTAGCCATATTTTATAAGGTATGCAACGCAGCCATCTTAATTTAGTTGTCGAAGAAGCCACAACTACAGACGCCAATCGTTTTTGACCAGGGCGAGACATTTTCTCACCTACTATATAAGTGAGGAGCTAAAAACCTGTCTTCTTGTGCATTTGCTGCGACAGTAAATTGTGAAAACAGTCAGAGCAAACCAAGTGAATCATTCACCGGTAGTTGTAGCTATTGGGTGAACGGCTATATCATTCTGGTAGTCCTCATGTGGTGACGAAATTTATGGCCTGATGAAAAACTGTTCGGACATCATAGATCCGATTGGAGAAACAGTGCTTGGAAACAATCCGAAAAGAGTGGCGACCGTCTTCAGAGCTCAATTAGAAATATTAATTGTTCAGAATGTCCATTTTCTGTTGGCCTGTAACTAGCGCTTACTTCGCGAATTCCTCCGTGTAAGATCACCTGCGATAACTTGATAAGATGGAGGTCTAATCCACTGGCAGCGCTCTTTCCAAAAATTGTTCTTTTGAGAGACGAACCCCCTGAGAACTGGTGAGAATTAGCTTAACTTGCGAGGAGGACGATCTGACCTAGCCTCAGCATGCTTCGAGGAATTGAATACACCGTATTTGTTTGAGTAAGATTCAGATTCTGAATCCTCCTATTGTCCACGCCTATGGTGCGGAAATTTACAGTTTCATCAGTTTGCATAGGAAGCTTTTTTCGACGGCTTGATGCTAGCAATTAGATGATCGTGTGACTGGTCCTCATACTGAGCACTATAATGAAGTTCTAAGCAAAAATCACGAAAAAGTGAAATCGCAATATATTTCTTTCAGCGACAAACTGCACGCCTTGCAAAGTAACGGTTTTCAGCTCTTTTTTTGAAAGACAAGTTTTTTTACAAAAAGTTGATGGAAACTTGGGGAGTGCGCCTACCTCCCCCAAGAAAGGCGAAACTGGTCGTGGGCTGTCGAAGGATTTTCAGCAACCTTGTGAGTAGTTTCCTTTGTGAAAGTTTTTTTGCATCTTCATAGGCATCCTTTTCAATTAAATTGGGACGATTGTTTTCAGTCAATTGGAAAAGGTTTGGAACCGATTGAGAAGTCATCGTTTCAGAAGAGCTGGGTAAGTAATCGGTAGTTTTTATATTTGGGCAGCGTTTCGTTTTTTGGCACAAAAGCTTCATCAGGTCAAGTGAACACGTCACCAAATCGGCCAGAAGACAGATGGGAAACCAAGCAGTAAGTCCTCTTCAGATTTTCACACTAGATTAGTTTTGAGTGTCAATTAAAAACTGGACACGGGACACAAAATATATTCAGAAAATGTTGAGGTTTTGAGGTGGTCCACGTCATGGAGAGTTAAAACTGCACGCCTTGCAAAGTAACGGTTTTCAGCTCTTTTTTTGAAAGACAAGTTTTTTTACAAAAAGTTGATGGAAACTTGGGGAGTGCGCCTACCTCCCCCAAGAAAGGCGAAACTGGTCGTGGGCTGTCGAAGAATTTTCAGCAACCTTGTGAGTAGTTTCCTTTGTGAAAGTTTTTTTGCATCTTCATAGGCATCCTTTTCAATTAAATTGGGACGATTGTTTTCAGTCAATTGGAAAAGGTTTGGAACCGATTGAGAAGTCATCGTTTCAGAAGAGCTGGGTAAGTAATCGGTAGTTTTTATATTTGGGCAGCGTTTCGTTTTTTGGCACAAAAGCTTCATCAGGTCAAGTGAACACGTCACCAAATCGGCCAGAAGACAGATGGGAAACCAAGCAGTAAGTCCTCTTCAGATTTTCACACTAGATTAGTTTTGAGTGTCAATTAAAAACTGGACACGGGACACAAAATATATTCAGAAAATGTTGAGGTTTTGAGGTGGTCCACGTCATGGAGAGTTATAGCCGAGGCGGCAGAAATCGCCAAGCATCCCAGTGTTAACAGAATAGAAGGCGTGGAACTGGCAAGCGTGTGGAGATCGGTCTTGGGTCACTCAAGCTAACTCGTGTTGGTGTGCGATTAGCAGAGGGAAGAGTAGTCATTATCTGGATTCCACCTAACCTTACCCACCTCCCTTCCCCCAGTTAAATTGTCGCAAAATTCACGTGGCCACGAAGACCAAAGAAAATCTACCAGTGGCACCCTGAAGTGGAAGATTAAGCAACAGAAAGCGATCAGAACTAATTTGAGACTCGAGAAATACACACTCGTTTTCAAATCAATTTGGTTTTCACAAGAGACTCAACTGAATCTCTCGTTTATGATGTTCTACAACTGAATGTGCTGCACACAGGCCGCCTCATGTTTCACTTGGTACGATATTCGAGATATCGCAGTATATTTTCATGAAGGAAACTACTCACAAGGTTGCTTAAAACTCTTCGACAGCCCACGACCGGTTTCGCCCTTCTTCCATAAGGTTAATGGAAACTCGGGGACTGCACCTACCTGATGAGCCTCAAGAAGGGCGAAACCGGTCGTGGGTTTTCGAAGAGTTTTCAGCAACCTTGTGAGTAGTTTCCTTCACGAAAATAATTTGAGACTCCTTCAACCCATCGATCCAAGATTTTGGCAACCACACTAGCCGACAAGAGCCGTCAGTCGACACAAAATCGATCAACTGTGATAATCCGAAGAGGACTTACTGGTTAGTTTCCCGTCTGTTTTAGAACCTGGCCAATTTGTTGACCTGTTCACTTGGCCTGATGAAGCTTTTGTGTCAAAAGCGAAACGTTGCCCAAATAAAAACTACCGATTGTTTACCAAGCTCTTCTGAAACGATGGAATGAAGGTTACTTTTTATGTGTGCCTCAGAACAGCTTTAGTCAGATAACGAATACCAAGTGTTTTGACCTGTATTAGCCCCCAGTCTGTCCCATTCAACTCGGGACCTCTCCCTGAAGAGCTATGAAATACGCAGAAATGTTGGCGCTTTTGACCCCAAAACTTACCGGAATGTGCAAATTCCACAGAAGTAAAGAGTGAAAACACATTTCTGTCGGGTTACAATGGGCGATTACGTTTAAAAGCAAAGTTTAACCCTAGTGATAAGTCCCGATGTTCAGTTTTCATACCACCGCATAAGATTAACGGCTGGACCGGGTACCATGGCCCTGATGTAATGCAAGAAACCATGAAATCTACCACAGCGCGTGAGCTCCACGTCAGCGCGTCTATATTTACGGATAGACGCATAAATTCTCACAAGTTGTGTGGGCTCAGGCGACCGACGAAAGCTCAACCATGCGGCTGGTAAACCAGATGATTAGTCCATGTCATTAGACGGACAACTGATCAGAATTTCAAATGACGATCGATCGGTTCACTTCGGAAGCTGCAGAATTTTACTCAGTTATTCTCAATCTATCAACGATTATTAATGTAAGGGTTATAGTATTGTCGCAAAGTTGGTGGTCATACCTCAGGCCCTCTTAGTCGCTTTCCCCTGAGTATACCTTCGTACAGAACGTGCGTCTCAAACGATACATTCTTGGTAGGCTTGTAGTGGGTTGCTATGCTCCCAGCTATCGCGCACGTTTACCATTTTCAACTAAAAGTCAGTGTTTCGCAAATCCCGCCTAATCATGTCTCATCATATACTGGTAATTCTATTTTAAGTTTGGCAATCAGGTAAGCTAATCAGAGTAATTACAGATCGATAACACTGACGATGCAAGCATTGAAAAACACCTAACTGTCCACAATTTAGGCTAAATTCAGCGGTTTTAACTACCGACTGTGCATTCCATCGGTGTGCATGACGATGAGGTGAAAGATGGTCTTCTTACTGGTGTCCTTTTTTCACATCAGTATGTCAATATTAGTTTATCAAGTAATCTCTCTATCGTAGGTGTATTATGTGGCTGATAAATATGAAGACGATCTAGGGGAGAACCCAAACGAGGGCGTAACAGTGAATGACGAGTAAAAGGAGATCAATTCAAGAGCCACGATAAAAGTCAGTGCATAACTACTCTTGTTAGTGAGGTGCTGTGAAACAAGTGAACATTAAGGCTCCTCGTGACATCCCATTTTTATCGTTCATTGTGGGGGAATAATCTTTCAGGCGAAAGATGTACGGCGCATTGTATGCTGCATATAATGCATATAATAATCTGTCATACAACAACTTGATTATTCGGGATGGCCCAAGTAATTAGAGCGCGAATTTACTGACCACAAGATTCGTGGTTTGAAACCGACCTCTGCCTCTCGACTTCTCCTGTCTACGCTCGGCCAACCTGGTAGTATCTCGGCCCCCGTTCTTCCCTCGGGTGACATGGCAGTTGGGCGCCGAAAGGATGGTACAGCTGAATTATTTTGATTGACTAGTCGACTTAAGATCTACTCGACTCTGGTTTGAAAGTCAAGCTTTAGACCATCCCTCAAGCAATGAACTACCGTCCCACGGTCGGTCCCTTTAGAAGGGACCACTATGATCCTCGTTCTGTTTGGAGGTAGAATTTGTAATGGCTACATTCCAACACGGACACACCTAACTAGCTGGATAGATGGCCTAATGCACCAATCTCAGAACATGGCCATTGAGTTTCCATATAACGTAATACGCTTTCATTGACGGATGCGAACACATTTCAGAGTTGGTAGTGTGAGGAGATTTGGGATTTTTGTGGAGATTTCGTCCTGTAAGTGAAGCCAGTCTATGCTGAAAGGCCGAGAAGCACTGCACAGCTGTTTCATCCTTATTGGGAATCATCAGCAGTGCGCATCTCTCGAAACTCCGAAAAGTCTCGAACCCGCGACCTCCCGGCTAGTAGTTTGAACACTTAACCGTTCGGCCACGAGTGTTTGATCAGCAGTGTGGTTAACTCGCACTAAGACAGGATAGGGCACCGCTCATCCTTCAATCACGGGATCCACATCACGCGGTCACATGTGTTGACTGGCTCCTCGGGCAACGACTTCCCAGATGGAAGTTTCACTCATCGGGTAAAGTTTATTCTTCCACTGAGCTACTTATAGATTGTTGGTAGTGTGATAGCTCAAAGTGGTAGCGTTCAGACTACTAGCCAGGAAGTCGCGGGTTCGAGACTCTCCGGAGTTTCGTGAGATGCGCACTGCTGATGATTCTCAATAAGGATGAAACAGCCGTACAGTGCTTCTCGGCTTTTCAGCATAGATTGGCTTCATTTACAGGACGAAATCTTCACACAGTCCAGAGCAGCAAAATATGTCCTTATTATCGGGAACATCAAGCAGATACAAACAGGCCTGTATTCTGTGGACTGGAATCCTAGATAGATAATACGCAAAAGCTGTTGCTATCAAAACAGTCACATTTGTTCACTACTGCGGTTTTCCTGTTGAATATCGTAATTTTGTGCGCTGGATCGCTAACACGACAGTGTTGTTTCATATTGGTCAGGGATTTTCCGGTCAGTTTTTTTTACAGAATTAAAAGTTCTGAAGTCGGAAAATGGTATACTGCGCTTGCTGTGAGTTCACAGCATCTATCCGGCAGTTGACTATTGCATTAGGGTCCCAGTCACCCGTGTCACACCAGGCAATCTTTGCTACTAAATTGTGAGAACTGAGGCACAACAAAAACAGGTCAACAAATGTTTCTATCGACTGTTCTGACCGAGCTCCACCGCTTTGCCTCCTACACGTAATTTTTTTCATTTGGACCTACATGTTGACACGAAATTAAAAGTGAAAGCGTGTTTATCTGCATTGCCCAGCATCAGAATTACATTACTGATCTTTTCGGCTGAGCTTCGGCATCCAGTAACACTGGTAGGCCCCGCTGCTGGCACAAATCGATGAGAGTCTATAGGAAGTTTGACACTTCCAGGTTTTCGTTCGGGAAAATACGTAGTTATCAAATCACAATTCGCTACATACAAAAAGCTAGTGCATACAAACGTACCGGCAACCTGAACGCTTGCACGGATGATAGATACTACAAACTATAGGCTAGTCAATGCAAGCGGCTAGATCTTGTTTTGCATTGCATCGATTTGGTGTGCAGCCGCAATATAACATTGGTACCAAGGGTAAGGTGCACTGGTCGAACCTCTGTAGCTTTTTGTGCTTGGATTTGGGTACTTGAGCTTCCACAAAGCCTAATTTTAAACACGCACTCCAAGTCTCATCTCAAACGACTGCACTTTTGTGTGAAACAGCTTCATCGTTTCGTGAAACAATTTCCAACTGGACCGCAAAGGACACATCGACCCGCGTCCAACCCAGATTGATTTTAATCCTACTAGTACGAAAAATCCGAACGACGGTTACGTGCCCTCATGACCTACTATGATAGGTCATCGATATTGAGCTGGTGGGATCAGGTTTGATGACCTGAGGGCACATGTACTTACGAGGGATTTCAGTATCCCGAGCTAGTTGTCTGTAGAGGCCGCTTCAGTGAATCGATGCCTATGCTGACATTTCATCATTTTAGAATACCAAAGAATTTTCTGGACAACCTCAACGGCGGGGGATCGTGCTTGACTGAAAGAGATCCAAACCCGAATTCCGTTGGGCTGTACTACGAAAGCTTTCACAAAACCTGTCGCGTGTTGAAAAAGTATATAGCCCTAGAATACGTATCATCGGATAACAGTACATATATGAGGTCACTGGAAACGCCAATGCATGGAACAGTCATTTGTGTGCATAAATGTTCCATACGGTGACGCCTTAGAGATCGTTTTCCTAACTAGGGAACACCATCATGCTGAGGATAGAATATGATTTTTACTCCGAAAATCCGTGCACCCGCCTACCCCCACTCACGCTGTACTCACAGGTAACCCCCGACTTTACAGGAAGGTTGCTGAAAACAATCCGACGGCCCAAACTCGGTATCAGGAAATACACTGAGCTCCTACGATATTCGATATATTGCAGTACAGACGGAACACACTACTCGTAAGATTCCTGAAAACTCTCCAAAAGACGACGAGTGTTTTTGCCTATCTTATGGCTCATCAGGAAAGTGCAGTCTACTTGAACTCAAAATGAACGAACTATACTCATTTGCAAGCTAATTTATTTTTGAGGAGAGAGTCGACAAAATTCCAGCCTATTGTCGTTTATGGTATATTTCTCAACCGCACGTGCTGCTCAAAGGTTGCCTTGTGTTTCGATTGGTACGATATTCGAGACGTCGCAATATATTTTGTTGACAGAACACATTATTCATCAACCTGTTTCGCAAATGAGCGTTTTCCGCAACGCACAAACTGAAGTTTGATTAAAAAAATATACGGCTGGTGAGAATTCGGGGACTAGGTTCACTTGATGAGCCCCCAA